TGGATGTAGTAATATTAACATTAAGTATTTAGTCGGTGCCTCATCTTACAAAGTACTGTCCATTCTGTAGGGAGGCACTGACTAAATAATTAACATTAATATTATTACATCCGCATCACGAGCCTCCAAAACAGTTTATTATATATACACAAAATATAGAATATTCAAATATGTCTGTGGGAACACAACAAAATCACAAAAACCAACGACTGACTTGATGATGTAAAGCATCACTCGAAGAATTTTATTCTTGTTGTATACTATAACTTTTGTTTATATATAATCTAATTTATTGTATTTTTATGCCAAGTATTTTAATAAAAGTAAAAAGTAAAAGTAATGCTATCCCTGTACCAGGCCGTGAAGGCCCATAGGGTTGTGAGATGAGGGTCCCACACTATCTAGACAATCCACTCAAAGATGGCGGTAAGGTTGTCAGCCTTACACGCCAGCTGCGCTTTACTCCCCAGGAAAATTTAATTAATTCCTGGTACTCATATCTGTTAGTAAACCCCAGGGCCTAGTGTGGCTGGAAGGATTAGGTCAACTGAAAAAAATCCAATGACCTCATCAGGACTTTAACCCACGACCTTCCGGCTTGTAGCTTGTATGTTTGCTCACATATTAAAGATGAGCAGCGACACACACACACACACAGGGAGCCTGCACAGAATAATATGTGAACGGTGCTGAAAACAAGAAATAGCCGCTGCAGCACATGTAAACACAGAGCAGGTGTCCCTGGTGTTTAAAACTTTAAATTTTGAATTGGAGTTCTAAAATCAAATTGACGAGCATATGTTGGCGAGATTTTAAACAAAACTGACAGGCTGGTGTTTTAGATTTTGAATTGTGTGCAGTGTGACAGCTACGTAGTGAAAAATACACCTGATGATGGCCAGTTATGGACGAAACATGTAGTGTGGAGGAAGAAAAGACAAAGAACTACAACCAAAAAAATTGTTGCATTCACGACGGCATTCATATTATTACATACAGAAGTAATATTTAAATTAGAAAAATAAGCGATTAACAAGATTCTTTTATTTATTAAAAATCAGCAGAGGGAGACAAAGCAATAAATGTTGACTGTTACCTGAAACACAATATCATGAATACAATCATCTTCACTAGCTTCTTGTAGCAGACTGTTTAGGTGCTGTTTCATGTCTGATGTTTCCATCTGTGGCACTTCAAGCAGACAAGCTATTGGATGAGCCTAGAACCACAAACACACCCTTTTTATTTAAATGATGCATTGATTTTAATCTTCTGCATATCACAAGCAGAGATCAGCTAGGGTTGCTTTAAAACCGTCACAGCCAAAATGACTGTCTTAACACAAATCAATAAGTACAAGACATGGCATCGTGTGTGACATACCAATGTTTAGAGGAAATAACAGACCTTTACTGTGTCTACATGAGGTGGTATTGTAAAGTTCCCAGACTGCTATTGTTGTAACTGCCTCAGTGAAAGAAGATGAGAGGGAGGCCAAGGTCACTCTTCCGCAAGCCTATTGCATCAGCTTGCCATGTGACACTGCACTGTGAACACGCATTGTTCTTAAATGAGTGTCTTTTCAACTTCGTGTTTTGTTTTGTTTTGTTTTGTTTTGTTTTGTCTGTGATGGATGGCAAAATTGAGGAACATGTCTGCATCAAGTTTTGAGTTAAGCTCATTTAATCTGCTACCAAAACTCTTGAAATTCTTCGTGAGGCTTTTGGAGAACATTCTTTAAGCCAGACAGCAGTTTCTGAATGGCATTCACATTTTAAGGCCAGTCAAGTGTTGGTTGAAGATGATGAACATTCAGGGTGACCAAGCACCAGCAAAATTACAGAAAATGTTGAAAAAATTTGAGAACTCATCCACGTAGACCATCGCTGAACAATCCATGTGCTTGCAGACACCGTTGGGATAAGTTATGGAGTTTGCCAGGCGATCTTAACGGAGAATTTGAACATGCACCCATTGCCGTGAAGACTGTTCCCCGATTCTTGACAAATGATCAAAAGCAGCTGCGTGTAAACATGTGTCTTGAGCTACAGAGAAGGCTAACAAGGACCCAACTTTTACCTTGAGAATAATAATGGGTGATGAAAGTTGGATTTATGGTTATGATCCAGACAGAAAGCAACAATCAGAACAGTGGAAGATCCCACAATCACCAAGGGCAAGCAGATCCAGAGTTCAACAAAGAGCATGCTCATTGTTTTTTTTCCAACATGAAGGGGATTGTTTGCCACATATTTGTTCCTGCTAACACTATGGTCAACTCTGACTTTTACTGTGACATTTTGAGATGCTTGAGCGAAGATTGCGATGAAACAGACTGGAACTTTGGTGCAACCACAACTGGCTCCTTCATCATGACAACATGCCCACCCACATGTCCCTGAAAACCACAGAGTTTGTGACTTACAACAACATGGTTAGCATTCACCATCTTCCCTACTCACCAGAATTGCCCCTCTTTGACATCTCTGTTTCCCAAATTGAAAATGAAACTGAAGGGACGGTTTGAAATAGTGCCTGACACCCAAAGGGAATTGCAAACGGTACTTGACAGCATTAAGGAAAATGACTTCCACGGTGCTTCTGAAGCATAGAAAAAATGATGGGATCCAGTGTATGTTCCCAAAGAGACTGTTTTGAAGGAGATGGCAGCCAAAATTAAGTGAGTTATGCCAGAATTTCTTTTTCTGACCTAGTCCTGGAACTTTCCGATAGAACCATATCTGTGGTCATTTGAAGGTCATTTATGAAAGTACTGTGGATCTTTCTGTACAGCTGCATTTTTTTCTCAAGCACCCTTGACATTTCTAGCAAGTAGTTCAATGGTATGGCTTGGCAGTCAAAGGGTTAAATAACCACCTGTTATGTAACCTTGTTGGCATGTACACACATACTACAGCATAACAAGTAATTACGAGTGACCATTAAGATCATGGTCTTCTGGGTTATGACACCATGCAGTCTGATAGATAGGTATTATTGAATAAAACCAGCTATGATTGCAAATACTGCTCCCATTGATAACACATAGTGGAAGTGGGCTACAACGTAATAAGTATCGTGGAGGATGATGTCAATTGATGAATTTGCCAGTACTACTCCTGTTAAGCCCCCTATGGTGAATAGGAATACGAAGCCCAATGATCATAAACATGTTGCTCTATATAGTTGTGACCCATACACTGTTGCCAGCCAGCTAAAAATTTTGATTCCGGTTGGTACTGCGATGATTATGGTTGCTGATGTGAAGTAGGCCCGTGTGTCAACATCTATTCCTACTGTAAATATGTGGTGTGCCCATACTACAAATCCTAGGAGACCAATCGCTAGTATAGCGAAAATTATTCCCAGATTTCTGAAGGCTTCTTTTTCACCTCTTTCATGGCAGATGATGTGTGAAATTATACCGAACCCCGGTAAAATTAAGATGTATACTTCTGGGTGTCTGAAGAAAGAAGCAGCAGGTTCCTGCAAAATGTCCATACCTATCTACCAAATTACATGCAATCACATCCAAGAAGAGTGTAATCTTAACACTCACCACTGTGAGAACCTCAAATCTCAAAAATGACCATGACCATGACTGTTACATTATATTCAAAATAATAACTTGTTAAAATAAATTTCAGTGGTACAAGCCATGATTCATGGATAATCATAATGAAGTTCTGACCTGTATAATAGCAAAATTCCTTCCTTTAGGGTCAGATGTAACAGCAACAGCTCGGTGGATGTGAGGAACACGCTTGATCTGCACTGTTGTCAGCTTTGCACTTGGTCGTTGAACCTTGACTTCCCCCTGAAATGCCTCACCATCTTGAGTGATCAGGAGCAGCTGCCCACGAGTCTGAGCAGCCACTGCAGTCAACACCAGAGGTCTCCCCAGTGAAAATGTACACCTGTGCAGGTTTGTTCACATTTGTTTCCACAGGTCAATGTGCAACAAGTTTACAGAGACAGAAGTCTAACCAGTATTGGCTGGCTGTGAAGTACTAAATACTGTTAGTTATAAAAGATCTAAAGGCTGAAGAAATTCTGAAGTATAGTCTCATAATCCAAGATCATCTACCCTGCTGTTCAATGGTCTCTATGACTGTCACCTCCTTTTTGCACATAACAGCTAGATAGATACACAAAAGACATAATATTTAGGTTTTAATGGATAATGATGTACATGCTGAAGCTCTGCTTACCACAGTGCTCACCTCATTTTAATCAGTGGCCTTTGTGTTCATATAAAGACAAGTAAGAAATATATAGATTTAAAAATGTTGGTGTATTCACTCCCCTTTTTAATTAACTCAAAAATTGTAAGACTTACAGAAAAAGTATACTGGACATAAAATATACATTTCATTTTCCTCTGCTACCTTTGTTTGAAACATTTCAAAACTCTCATCTGCTCACTGTGGACTGTGAATTAATAGAGGTAAGCACACCTTGTAAGCTGTTGGATGGCACTGTTCTGCCATAGGAAGAGTTCACCTCTGTTGTCCAATATCAACACTCGAAGCTGTTGTTCTTCCTCCCTACTTTCAGCATTGCCCTGTTGATCTCGATCCAGCATCGTTGTATCAAGATGTCCTCCAACAACAGCCAGCTGTACTACACCTACTTGTCTGGAAAACACAATCATAGTTTTAATTTTTTCAGTTCCCAACATTCTCTTGAATGCAAATACACATGTTTAATGTTTGCAGGTTAAAGTACTGAGGCCACCAGATTTCAGTACAGCAGAATGTCCACTGAACAATAAAATAAATTAGCTTAGACAAGAAAGTAAAAAAAGCATTTACTTATATGAAGTATTTTTAAGCCATTTACAAGTTTCTTGAATTTTCACTTTTTTTTTATTGCTACTGGGGGTGAGACTAAGTCCCCTGTACTGCGGCCACTTTTGGCTTATTGTACCAGCCTCAGATGATAGGTGAGGGTGAGTGTGGAGCAACTGGTAAGGAATGAAGATTGGCAGGGGAAACCGAAGTACTCAGAGAAAACCTGCTCCAGCGCCACTTTGTCCACCACAAATCCCACTTTACCAGACCTGGGATCGAACCCGGGCCGCCATGGTGGGAAGTCAGTAACTACCGCTTGAGCTAGGGCGCAGGCCTGAAATTTCACTTACAAATTTATTTTTTTGTTCACAGCTGGAAGTGTAATCAATGTAAGTGGAACCAACACAAATTAAGAATTTTTAAATGAAAAAGTTTCTTCTCATATGTTTTTTGCACATCTCATTCACTTTGGTCTTCTTGAATTAATCATCCTGATAAGACTATGTAAAGAGTGCACATTATGAACATCCTGTGATACAAACATCGTAATACCTGGTTGCAATTTTTTGGCACTCAAACTTGTGCAGCAGATAGATATCAGCACCCAGGGCAGTAGTGGTTCCCCCTGCTGCTATGCCTCGTTCTACAGCCACAACAGTAGCGCCATCACTAGCTGCCACTTGTAGTATCTGTCCACCCTTATGACTGAGTGCAGACACCTGTACCAACAACACACTTCATGTAAGTTTTGAGGTTTTCATGGCGATGACTATGAAGAATACACGGCGCCAAAACCCAGAAGACGACTATCTTAACACACTTCATGTTCACTCACAACCTAAGCTCAGAGTAGCCTTTTGTTGCACCAGGAAGGAAGCATACTGGGGAGTATGCAAGTGTCTGTGACATATTTTAAAAACTACAAAACATATCACAATAAACTTTCATGCTGTGAGTCTGTAATAAATGTTCTGAAGGTGAATTTTGACTTGGTATATACTGGTCCACAAACCAATACCTTATATAAAGTTCGAATTGAATTTTATAAATTTTCTCAAGAATGAAGAACAATTCACATACAGAAGATCTGAACATGGCAAAAAATATAGATCTACTAATATTACATAGAGCATTTTTCAACAAACATAGGCCTACATAATACACATTCAAGATTTAAATAATAAGTCATACGACAAAAATGAAATAAAGACTTATAGCAGAAGAGGTTCAACCTATTACACAAAATTGAAATAAGTGGAATTGCACATTTAAAGACATGATGATGAAATAAATTATATTAATTCTACTACACGATTTGTATCATCAATGAATGAACACCAAGGAAGACTAAATATACAGAACTGCATTAAAAATGCATTTAAAAAAATATAAGTAATTTCAATTGGAATATAACCATTTCCCCTTGTTAGTTCTCAGGCCCATGGAAGCTACATAATAGAAATGTTGAAGTTTTGAAGGAATTTTTAAATTGTATTCATGTCTTCTTTGAGACATATCCAAACTTGTGTCTGGAGAGACTAAAGAAACCCTTGAACTACAGCAGTCAGGACAATAATTTCTGGCTGAGATATGAATTAAATATCATTAGACACAAAGAATCTCACTTTCTGCTTATAAACTCATATAAATTCCTTCAACAATTTATGTTATGTTCTTCCTTTCCACACAACTATAGTGTTCTGTAACAGAGCAGTAGAGGATGCTGGACTAACTTGTCTGGGTAAAATTATGGTAGAGCTAGGGCCCTTTGAATGACCCAGCTGCCCTGCATTCAGACCACAGGTGAGCACAGCTCGATGGCCCCAAATAACAGTGTGGAAACGAGAAGCACAGATTCCAAGAACTGAATCTCCAGCAGCATGTACAGAGCGTGGTGTCAACTGGCGAGGTAACAAGAGGCTTGCAGGGGGTGGTGAGTGACCCAACTGATGATGTGAGTTGAGACCACATGACCATACCTGAAAGCAATATAACATTTCCAATGTTTTATTGGCTGGAACTAAACAAAGGGAAGAATATTTTGAGCTACAATAACTTAATCAGTAAACTGAAGGGCTATAAACTGGACAGCTGGGGTTTAATTCTTGCCAGAGACAATAGTACTCATCCCATCAGCACTACATTACTGTGAAGCATGTTCCTCAATAACAGTCTGTAAGACCTACTGTCCCATTCTCCATGAGAAAGACAGTGTGATCCCGTCCTACGCAGGCCATGGTGCACGAAACAGCAGGTCCGTCAGGACTGTGACTGCCAGGGCTCTGCAGGCGCACTGCATGAGGTGTGAGAGTAGCTACTTCTGAACTCAGACCCAGTCTTCCACCCTGCCCATGGCCACACGAAAACACTCTTCCATCATGGGTCACAAATACGGAGTGGAACTTGTGCATTGCCACCTATATAGACAACAAAATGATTACTGGGGGGCCAGTGAACAACAAACTGAAAAGAAAATGCTAGCATTCCTAATCATTTGGTCATTAATATATCGAGCTGTATCATTTAACAATGATATAAGACAAGAAGATGTACATTGGCTCTAGAGCCAGTCACACTGAACAGTGAATGAACTCCATTTACCTGTTTGATACTAATCCCCTGCTTTCTGAAGGCATCCAGTAGCTCTGGTTGTGAGCGACTTTGTTCATTCCCAGTGCCTAGGCTGTAATTACTGTTCGTTCCCCATACATAAACTTCACAGGGGTTGCGGGCATTAAATTCAACAACTGGTGGACGATCCTTCATAGCATGATCTACTGGAGTCAGTCCATCATGATCTCTCACTGTCGTACTTGCTCCCATCTGTAAAGCATGCAGAGGAATCTCCAAACAAGTTCTTAATAAACTATGTAATTTCATCGACAATTTGAGTCTATCAGTTATTTACTAAAAGGATAAAACTGTTCAGTTCAACAGTCATATTTACGATTCTGTATTTCAGCATCTCATTCCAATTGTTCAACTTAACGTCCATTATTTATTGTCCGTCACTATTGCAACACTTGTTTATTCACTACTTAATTTTAATTTTAGTTTAACATTATACGCTCTGACACCACATGTTTTGGCTCCAAATGGCCATCTTCAGGTGTCTTGATATGTTACAAATATTTTATTAAATTATGTTGAAACTGCTACACTGTCTTAGCCCATGTTAAAATCACACGCTGTAGTCCTCTTTTCAAGGTAAAACCAGATAAAATCCTTTAAAGTTTCTATTATACCCATGTCATTTTGGTGCATTTTGCTTCACCTCACACGTGGTGTCATCCATTGTTCATAAATGTATTTCTGTATAGGGTGTTTTGTTTCGGCAGCTGGCCCTTCACGTTCGTAGCCTACTTTTCAGTTATGACTGCCATCTGTAATTTATAAGATCCCTAGATTAATGTTGGTTTCTATTTGTTTGGTATTATTATTATGTTATGTTTGTTTACTTTGTACTTCCATTTGGGGCTGAAACAGGTAGTGTCTAAGTGTATAATGTTACTCTAAAATTAAAATTAAGTAGTGAATAAACAAGTGCTGCAATATTGACGGACAATAAATAATGGACGTTAAGTCATATTTACATAAAACTTCTTAAGTTTCATATTTCAGCCACTCTATAGTGTGTCCAAGCATAAATGCACATATTTTAACTATTTTTGTTGAGAAAATACACAGAGCTAAGGCACAGTAGGTTTCACCACATGAAACAGCTAATCAGAATTTTTTTTTCCCTATCTCGCTCCATTTCACCACACTTTGACCTGAGCTCCCACTGTTGCTCACAATAAAAAATAAAGTAATAATAATTTATTTATTTATTTAACTTCCATAACTGTTACATAGGCACAATTTGACAAGTCAGTAAAAAAAAAAAACAGCCACACAATACATGTCAACAACTCTTAAAAATGTACAACACAATATACAAAACAATAAATAATACAATCCCTTGCTGTTGCTTATCAACCATGGATGACAACACCCAGCAATTCAATAAAAAGCAATAAATATACTTAAACAACCAAAAACACAAGTCAGCCATGTAAAACAAAGCATCACACATTTAGAGAAGGTAAGAGACAAAAGACCATCTATATACTCCCACATTACATCAAGACTAACTTGAGTTACCAAACTACCATCTATTGTTTTTACCAAAAAACTCTTGTAGAGAATAAAACCAGTTTTGTAATAAATAAATTTCTAATTTATTTTTAAAAACTTTAAAATTTTCTATTATTTTGAGTCTGAAAGGTAAATTGTTATGTATTTTTATTCCCATGTTAATTACACTTTTTGGCAATGAGCAGTGTTGCATACTTGGACATACAAATCATGTTTCCCTTTTGTGTGCTATATGGTATTCAAATGCCCTGAAACTGATGCATGTGCATGTTCACATGGGTTTGATAGAACAAGTATCGTATGTAAAACTCTGAAAGTTCTGCTGTCACATGGCATAAACTGTGCTCTTTATGTTCTGTTTATTATCTCAATAAAACTGTTTAAAATGTGTGCACTCATTTTTGAACATTTTGTATATTTTTGGTCTTAAATTTTTGCTAAGAACTATGAATATTCCCCAACTACAACTGAGGTCCTTTACTGTAGAGTCCAGCAAAGTACAATGCAAAGCACCAAATGAGAACTGTACTGAAAATCATAAAGAGAACAAATTGGGCATTCAAAGAATGATGACAGGCAGAACAAAACCAAAGTGCTGAAACTTGTCCAAAAGCCACACTGTCCAATGTAGATGTCATATGGGCTACACCCAGTGAATCCAGGCCTTCCCAGTGGGCTGCAGTGCAAACTGTTTATTTTCTGTTTTAATTAATGCCACTAAATTGATAAAGTGTGTTGGGATGAAGTAAAATAGTGTAGTTGGAACCTAGATCTGTATTCTGGCAGTATCTGTTCTGTGACTGAGATTATTCATGGCTTTCCTAGGTCACGCCACATGAAAACCAAGATAGTATCTTGAAATAGGCCATGATGGTCACCCTCCAAATTCCTACATATTTAAAATTCATGGCCATCTTCCCTGATCATTCAGTGGCTTCACTTTACCTTTATAACAGAGATAATAACCTGATACCACAGATATGTGAGGGATTTTTCATACAAGATAATTAGATAAAAATAATACTTTGTCATTATTATATCAGCAGTAAATTAAAGGCTCTCCATGCAATATATATTCTTCATACAATATGAGCTGTTTATTGTGGGCCAGCTGCATGTTTACTAGCAGTATTTTATGGATATGATGTCATAACTGTCAAGGTCACTGGTTTCAGGTACACCATCCAAACCTCTCTCACATGAAAGTGACATTCTGAAATATCAAGGCCATGGCTCAGCTGAACAGAAGAGAAAGTCTTGCACTTGGCTGATTTCACTAATGTAATGAACACAGTAAAGGTAAAGTTGTCCCTGTGCTTTAGCACCATGTCATGAAGACATATGGGGGGAGTGGAGGTATAGCTCCACATCTTAATCGTGGTACTACATGAAGTGTGTGGTCAGCTTCACACCCTGGCTTCGTTAACCCTGGGGAAAGAGCCCTTTGTATCCAGTGGGTTGGAGGTTAGGTGAACCCTAGAGTATGTGTGGACACTGTAGAAAAATCTGTTATCTCTGCTGAGGATTGAACCTGAACTCCTCACTTGTCCAGCCCATACTCTAGTCGCCAGTCCTTCCAATAAAACATACATCTTTTATTAAGGCTGTTCATTATGCAACCAATTAAATACTTGTATTTTGCACAATCTTCTGTGATGAAGAAATTCCTTGCTTTTATGGAACCTTAAGATTCATCACAACGTTCATAATAGCCCCACATTTAATTCTATCCGAAGTACTTCAGTCAGTTCATATCTTCATAGTCCACATTTATATGATCTGTTTTAATATAACCTTACCATGTATTCTACTGACCTCTTTCCTACATCACTTCAAATCCAAACTTGCATGCATTTCACATTTCTGCCATGTGTTATATGTCCCATCTGTCTCATCCCTTCTTCATTTAATTACCCCAACATTATTAAGTGAAGAGTACAAGTTGTGAAACTCCACATTATGTTTGCTCCATCATTCCTCTGTTATTCGTCTCTCTAATGTCTCAGCGCTGTACTTCAAATGAACTATATTTGTAGTGACTGGTAAGAAGGGGTAAACTAAATGCTGTCGTTTTGGTGAAATATGAGATTTTTACAGTGATTACTACAAAGATTATCATCTTCTCAGAAGTATCACTGGGTACCAACATTTCAGAGACAATCTTCTACCCTGGTGATGGAGACAATATATTTCTCCAAAATGTCAGTAATGATCTACCTGATTATACTGCATCACATCCCAGAAGAGAGCAATCTGTTTTGTCAATTTTGACCCATGCATATACCCATTTTAATCTTTCAAATGGTATTAAAGGCTTAATCTAGTCCTTACACAGTGAAAATTACAAGCACAGAAACCCAACCTCAGGTCAGAAATAATGTCTGGTTGGTACTGTGGTGTATTTGCTCAAAGCAAGTGGAGGCACAGAAACAGCCATTACTAGGTAATGACCCATACACATGCAGCACAGGAACGTGTCACACAACAGAGGTGTTACGAGCGACATTTTCTGCTGTCTGCAACACGTGCTGCTATGCTATGGTGCAGTAAACACATCTCTGCAGCAATGAATCAACACGCAACAATACATGAAGAGTTTTCTCTGCTGGAGATGCCCTGAGGCTAGAATTATAATTGAGTTGAGTTCTGGAGTTGGCAGCTGCAGCACAGAATTGAGGGGGTCTCCAGAGTTGGCAGAATAGTGGCATGAAAGGAATTAGGCTGTGCAAAGAAAACTTCCTGTGTGATCTGAAGTTACATTAAGACTGTTATGAATATATTGCCAGGATATGACTAGTGAAAACTGAGGGCACTAGTGGGTGTAACAGAGAACTGTAAAGTGTTGAAATAGTGTTAGTACTGTAATTGGCTCTAGATCTGAGTACAGTGCATAAGGTGTCAATAAATCCAATCCAAAAACCATCTAATATGACAGTATAAACATTTACAGTCAACTTAAACCCTTCATAATGGTTTTCTGACTTGAGATCTACTTCCTCACTACCAAAAACATATTCTTCCCTTCAAGTGAGACCCCAATTTCAACATAAGGCAAGCAGTCTTTGAAGATAAAAGAATTTCAAACGAGTAAGTACATATATTTCCTGAATTCAATCTGCTCTTAATCCCATGATTAATATGTCATTAGTGCCACTAACCTTTATTAGATCAGCTGCTACATGAATCTGGCCATAAAAAATGCTGCGGTGAAGAGCAGTATAACCAGACTCTATATCACGAACATCAATACTGGCATCTGCATGTCGAATCAACCACCGGACAACAGCTCCATGGCCACATGATGCTGCTAGATGCAGTGCCGTGTGTCCTGAGGAATCAGTTGCACGCCCACATGTACCACAAAGCCATCGCATGTATGCTGCCAGGAGGGGCTGTCCTGCCCTCATGGTAGCAACTGCGGCCAATTGGCCTCCATGTTGCAGTGAGGTACATCTTCCCACAACACACTCACGTTCAATCCCATTCATTTCTTCTCTTTTCTTTCCAACCAAGTAAGCCAACCAATGCGATTTTGAGAAATGTGTTTTCAATTAGGCCTTGGTCTGTTAACACACATTCACCACAGGAGTCTTCCTCAAACAGCTAGTGCCGCAAATCATGCCTTGTATATATTGCCAAGTGTTGTGCAATGTTTCTGCTTCAAACTAAATGTTGAGATTTTTCTTATATTCTGTTAACTTATCTTCTGAATTAGCTTCCAAGAGATGGATGCTGTCTGTGAAAAACTCATGTATGTGTTAGTCCTTTGTTAATTTTCATCTGTCACAGGTAGAGCAGGGGTTCCCTTCACAGCACCTATCAAACTTAGCTTCCATGATAACAGATGGACATACTATTAAGCATGTGTAGGAAGTATTTGGCATCTGGAATTGTCATAACTAATTTCATGTTACTATCTGACTACAGGTGTAATAAATTGAGAGAAGTTCCATGTTAAAGGAACAAATGAAATTCTTTTCCTTTCTTGCCACCTGTATATACTACAAAACAGACATTTATATAGAAAAATAGAATATAAATAATCCTCTATTGACTTCTATGTACAAAGCTATACAAATTGGGGTTTGTGCATTGGTATAGGCACCCCTGCAAAAATCAGTCTTTCACATGCCATCAAATCAAAATCCAGCGCATTAAACACTTTAAAAAATTTGACGATTTCTGCTGATAATCTCTTCGGCCAGGTGATGTTTGATATGATTTCATACACCAACAATCTTCTACACACTTTTAATATACAATGCTTCTTCTTAGATCACAGCTGAAACAATCCTCCTTCAGGTACAGTTCCCTCAGTACATTCAACCTCCAGCAGTTGGCATAGCAAGTTGCCTTCTCACTCCCCTTACCCCACCTGGGGCAAGGGATATTAATTTCACTTAGACAGCCATAATAGGAAAAACTTTAACCTGGAAAAAAAAACAACAGAAATTGTAAAATCAATCACACAACTTCAAAATGTCTTGGCTTTTCAAGTAGCTAGTAATTGCAAATTTGCCAGGAATAAGTTATGCATACTTTTACTGATATTTTATAAAATCTGTTTCTGTCTTAAATTTTTACATTTAAAAATACAGTGGAAAAAGCAACAAAAATTGTTAAAACAATTCTTGAAACTTCAAGTAAGTAACAGTTTACAATGAATATTCTTATACATTAAATTCATGTAAGTTTTGATATTTTCTGCAGCTTATATACTATACAGAATATTTATATCTTGTTACCCCAGTAAGGTATTAAATTTCTAGAAAACACAAGTATGAAACCTTGCAACCTTGCCAGCCCACTACAACTGACTTGTTATTTCAAATCTGGTTTACTAGGGGAGTGTTTAATTTATTATTTAATTAAATAAATGCATCAGTCCTTAAGAAGCTAGCAGTTGCTCAGCCAGCATTAATGAATTCCATGAAGCAGAGCCCACCCTTCTTGAGAAGCTAGAAGTTCCTTATCTAGGCAAGAAATCCACTGGATGCATCAGAGTGATTTTAAAATGCAGTTTTTAATTAATTATTTAATTCATTTTATTAATCCTGTAGATCATGATACAATGATATAGGACAAGTCTTTCAGCTAATATACATTATGAGGTAAATAAATATATTTGGGAAATGTCATTACTTCTACACAGGAAAGAAGTGGCATGGCACTGTACAGCCATGATTATTAAATTAATTTTATATCTTGACACCCAGGCCACTTCTAAATCATGGGTACTTTTTTTTTCTTTTTTTCCATGGGGGGCGGCCACAAAATTTGCTTACAAACTTATGTTATTATGTTATAAGCAATTTACGACTGCATTTACTGACCACACTAAGGTATTCTGAAACGAACTTTTTAAATTATTTTAATTTTGGTGTATTTCCTCCTTTCAATTGTGACCCCCCCCCCTTAAAATGGTTGCGGTCATATGCTAGCTTGCCTCGCCCCCTCCTCCTCCCCCTCCGCCGCAAGGCACCTATTACATCACCAATACGAAAACGCGAAATTGATGAGGGGGAGGAAGAGGATGCAATATTATGCTTACTTGCCTAATCTGAATGAATACAACAATAATCATAACGTTGCTATAAAATCATATTGCTCAAGGTAGTAAATGTCAAAGCTCTAGCCTATGAATGGCTTACACTAATGCCTCCTGATTTCACCTATAATTGGCATTGTCAAGAAACCATAGTGAACGAGCTGTCGCTATTGGCAGACGCTAAAATTTATTTTTACCTTAACTAGTGACGAAATAAACATCCAACACTGACGAAAGAAGAGACGACGTCACACTCAAAAACACATGAAACAGCACACATTTTCCCAAATCTTAATTATTACAGTTGTTCGCAAAATACCTTCACGCAACAATCGCAAACAACCGATACCTACAGCGCTATACACGCTTTTGTGGCAGATTCGGAACTAGACGGCATTATCGATAATTACGTAGATACTGGTATGGTGTTCTGAATGTTGTGAAGATCAATTTCTACTGTAGGAGGGAGCTTTATTGTGCATAATTGCCAGCACTGTGGACGTTCTGTGGGTGAAGTGATGTGCATGGGTGGTATAGGTTGCTAGATGAATGGATGGTAGATAAATAAGGAAGTGGTGGAATGGGAGGACATGGATTGCTGACAAGAGTGAGAAGGTAGCACTTTTGATGATTGTAACGTATTACATAATAAAATATATCAGCATTTAGCAGAAAAGTGTATGGCAAATGACATGCACAGTGAACTTGCTTATGGAAGGAACCATTGTATCTAACCAAAAATTTTAAGAATGATGTGAAAGCTACAGGATAAAAAATGGAAACAGTGGCAGTAGATGAGACGTTTGAACATCTGTGTAATTGTCTCCGAGTTAAACGCAGAGTAGAGAGTGTGTCTGAATTATTTGCAAAGCAAACAAATGATTCAGATCGTGTTGAAATTGCAATGCAACTTTTGAAAGAACATAATTTGATTGTGACACATAAAAGATTTGTTAGAGAAAGTGACAAATCCTTTAAAAGGTCTTTAAACCTGAGAAATTCAGGAAACAAATCATTCCAGATGAAGGATGACAGAGCTGCATTAATGTTATATACACAGAGCATTGCTACTGCACCATTTCCAGGTACCTGGAATATATCCAATCAGGAGCTACAAACACAGTTAGGAGAAAATGAGAATGATTGCACAGAAAATGCATTGGCTCTAGCATTTGCAAATAGATCTGCAGTCTTTTTTTCAATGGGTAATCATGAAGCTTGTCTTAATGATATTAGACATGCCATGAAATACAATTACCCCCAAAAATTATTGTATAAATTGTTTGAAAGACAAGGAAAGTGTTTTCAAGCCTTGGGGAGGATAGAAAGTGCTGTGGAGAGTCTATATGTAAGTATGAATGTATTAGATACTGATAGTATAGTTTAAACAAACTGAAAGAATTTTAAAGGTATGAAATCGACGTTAAATTATGATGGGTTTTCCAGGTATATATTCAATAGCTTTTGTCTTCCAGGATGCACAAAAATGGCTTCCTTCAGCTTCAGGTTTGACGGAGGAGAAAAAACAAGCCATTGGAGTAGAACTAAGGACTCTAGTGCAGCATTTAGCAAATTCCAAACCAACTGAAGTATCATGCTATAGTCAGATTAGGCAACCACCACTGCCAACCTGCAGCTACAACAAGAATCATGAAATTCTGTGTGCTTCAGATTGTGTAGAACTGAAATTTATGCCAGATATGGGACGGTACATTGCAGCAACAAGGGATATTCAGCCAGGTGAGGCCAGTGTTTCAGCAAACAGCTCATATAGCTGTTACAGCATTCTAAAAATATCAGTTAAATATTTTAAGATGATCATGAGTTTATTTTTAATGGGGCAGGAAGAGAGACAATTACAGTATGTAATATTTGAATATTTTTTTTTCTGTAATGTATGCAAAGGATGGATAGATATGATAGTAGTGTCCTTACTCATTTGAACTGTATACCTTACCTTACAATGGGTAAAGGGGCACACGGTAATGTAGTTGGTCAAGACACTATGCTACAAGCCGGAAGGTTGCAGATTTGAGTCCTGATGATTTGGATTTTTTCAATTGACCTAATCCTTCCAGGCACATTATGGCCCTGTGATCGACTCAGCCTCTAACAGAAATGAGTACCAGGAATCTTCCTGGGGGAGGGGGGTAAAGGGCAGCTGGCGCATAAGGCTAACATCCTTACCACCATCAGTAAGCCGATTGTCTAGATAATGTGGGACCCTCAGTGTCTCACAAACCCATGGGCCTCCATAGCCTGTTACAGGGATAGCTTTACTTCTTTTTACAGTGGGTAATTTCTTGTGAATCTTTTCAACTTTAAAATTGTTTGGTATCTGTGTTTCCTTACTTATTATAAATCTCAGTGTATTTGATTATCTTTACTGGATGGCATGTTGTTAACTCTGGTTTACTTTATAAATTTAATAAACTAATATTACAATTAAGATTTTTTTTTATTTTCCTGTGTGTATAGTCCATACATCCACTCCCCCATAAGTCTTCATGGCATAGTGCTTAATTAGTTAAGCACAGGGACAACTTTACTTTTGTATGTGTATAGTTATCAGCAAAATACAAAGATTCAGTGAAGGCTATACCGTCTTTATACATAAATAGCAGAACGAGCTTCACACAGGTCCTTGTAGGAGATGTCATTATGTTCATGACCAATTCCTTCGAGCTGAGTCCTTCAGAATGTACAAGGCGGTTCAAATATGACCAGGACTGATTTTTTGTAAACAAGCTGTACTGCGCAGCAGCTGTGCAACCTTGAGAGAGTGAAGCCACAACCTCCACCCTCCCTCCTGTTAGGGTTAGAACCTCTTCAGTCCTGTCTGGAAGTTGCTAGAGTGATGAGAGAACAGAAGGTACCGCGGAGCGTGGAACAACACATTGTGATCAAATTCCTCGTTGGAGAAAACGTCCAGTCCACTGAAATTCACCACAGACTCCAACAACAGTATGGGGAAGAGTGTCTCTCACGGACCCATGTGTTTGAGTGGTGTAAGTGCTTCAGAGAGGGCAGAGAGCGCGTGGAGAATGAACTGCATGATCGTTGGCCGCGAACATACATCACTGAGCCGAACATTGATCATGCAGACGTGTTTATTCATGAGAATAGGCACATCACTGTGAAGGAACTTGGAGTAAGATCCGATCCAAGCGGAAGACAGGTGGAAAGTGCATAGCCTTCCTTCAAGACAATGTATGCCCCCATACGGCCAAAACAAGAATGGAAATCCTTCGGAAATTGAAATGGAACCTTCTGACACATCCGCTGTACAGTCCTGATTTGGCCCCAAGTGATTTCTACCTGTTCAGAGGGCTCAAATCAGACTTGCAAGGCATGTGGTTTGTGGACGACGCCGTAATCCAGACTGTTCGGGAGTGGATTCGCCTCCAACCACAAATCTTTTTTTTGGGGGCATCAGGATGCTTCCAGAAAGTTGAAAAAAATGTGTTGACTCCGGAAGGGAGTACGTTGAAGACTGACATGTGCAAGTAAGTGTTTGGCAATTTTTTTTTTTTTAAATCAGTCGCGGTCATATTTGAACCACCTAGTAGTAATCACTTAGTTGCTCAAGAAATTCCCTGTCTTCTATGGAACCTGATGGTTCATTACTATGTTCAGAAGAGCCTACCAGAGGTCCCTATCCTGAGCTAGAGGAATCCAGTCCACACCTTCCCACCCTGCATCTTTAAGATTCATTTTAATATTATCCACGCCTAGGTCTTTGAAGCAGTCTAGTTCCTTCAGGGTTTCTGACAGAAATGTTGTTTATGTTTCCTATATTCCAGTGCTTGCTGACATGTTTAAATTTTCCCTGTGCTGAAGCCCCATAGCATGAAGACTTGTGGGGCAGATGTATAGTTGAAAGCTTTTGTAACCTGGGCACTAAATGGAGGTGAGTGGTCAGCCTCATGCTCCAATTGCTTTATGTACCTTGAAACAGCCCCCTGGCACCCACTGAGTAGTCTCGATGGGCCTTACAATCAATCTGCGTGCTGGAGACCAAAACCTCTGCCCTGCCCCGCTCATCCACCCTATAGCTTAGTCACTGTATACTGTTGAGTTATCACTAATATACAGCTTCTATAATTTTATGTAAAAATAACTTTCTCTTTCAGAAGCTGAATGTGTTTGAAATTCTGGTTTACTCATGAAAAGTTAAATGGTTCCGTCCAGTGTGACACCAGTCACACTGGACGGAACTGTTTAACTTTTCATGATATTGTTAGTGTGGCGGACCAGAATGAAACAAATCAAATTCTGATTTACTGTTGATTTCAATTCAAATTTATACTTGTCTCCCCTGCTTATTGCAGGAGATATCCTGGCCGTTGAGAAGCCCTTTGCATCAGTGCTTCTGCCTGATTTTTATGGGACACACTGTTACAACTGTCTTCAGCATTCTCGGAGTCTCCTGCCATGCTATCACTGTTCCACGGTATATATTCTCTAATGTTTGTGTATGCAGTGTAATTTATAAAACATATCCAGGCAACCAATTTACATAATGTTGTACAACATTATGTAAATGTAATGTAAATTTCTGAAGAAATTATGTTTATAGACTGAGTGATTTAAAAACAGCTTCTTAAGATAATTACAACTAAATTTGAAACAAGATATTTTTAATATCATACTTAAACATCTTGTTGCTTTACTAATGCAGTTCTGTATACGTATATTACTGTCGTAAATGCAGAATGTATTTTTGTGTCATGTGGATCTTAGTTTGTAATAACCAACCCAGTAGGGAGTTGTATTTGGAGAAGCCATTGCAACACGCATGAAATGCCAATATAAATTGAACTTACGTAATTTTATGGTCAGCACAACAATACTTCATTGTTTATTTATTTATATAGCATGCACTTTGTTTCGACCTCAAATGGGTCATCTTCAGGTGCTGCAAGTTTCTCACTTCAAAGTGTTTTAGTTGCAATGGAGATGTGGACTGGAGCACAATGTGCTTTTGTTAAAGCATTTTACAAAAATGGTGACAGTTTCGTGATTGCTCAGTGTGAATTTCGAAGAGAATTTGGTATTCATTGCAGTCGTGCTCTTCCATCTGCCCATGCCATCAAGACCTGGGTTCAGAACTTTGAGGCACATTTCTACACTAAAGAAGAAAGGTGGTAGGGTAAAAACAGGACATACACCCGAGAGTATAGTGGCAGTGAGAGAAGTCATTGAACGAAGTCCACGCTGTTCTGTGCATCACCATGCTACATCACTCGGCCTGTCCGAAGCCAGCGTTTGATGGATTTTGCACAAAGGTCTCCACTTCCACCCCTATAAAATTCAAATTAGTCATGCACTACACGAACACAACTATGAAAACAGAATTGATTTCTGCCAGACTTTTTTGCAATTAACTAATCAAAACCAAGATGTCGTTAACAACTTCTGATGAGTGATGAAGCTCATTTCCATGTATCAGGGTTTGTTAACATGCACAATTTCCTCTATTGGTCAGCCACAAACCCCAAAGAAATTTATGAGGGACCACTTCACAGTTCCAAAGTCACAGTATGGTGCGCGATATCTTCGTTTGGAATTATTGGCCCGTAGTTCTTTGAAGATGAGTGGGAAAGGGCTGTAACTGCGACTGGACCATGTTACATTCACATGTTGGGGAGCTTCTTAGCTCCTGCATTTACTCGTCTTCTAGTCAAGGAAGAAACGTTTTTTTCTAGCAAGATGGGGCTACGTGCCACACTGCACAAGTTTCCATGGCAGTTGTGAATAACCTGTTTCCTAACCATGTTATCTCCAGATATGGGGACATCATATGGCCAGCCAGGTCACCTGATCTTTCCACATGTGATTTTTTTTCTGTGGCGGTAGGTCAGTCCTTTTCACTATAGCATGTACATCCTCGGGTTGTGGATGGAGGAAACGCCCTCCAGGTATGGAAGGAAGCTGTGAATATATTGAATAATAAGCAGTCATGAGCAGCCGACAAGGGATTGTCCTCCAGCTTGGAGGTTGGGCGTGGGGCTAACAACTCCTCACTGTAAAAAATAAACTTGTCACGAAAATTCTCAAGATGCCTCAGACCTGGACGGATTCCTTGGATAAACGACCTAAGCTAAAGAAAATATACATGAGATTTGGCATGTGGAATTATAGAAGTATGTATAGGGCAGGTTTGCTCAGGGCAGTGGCAGAAGAAATCTTGAAATATGTTAGATTTAGCAGAAGTACAGGAGGTCAGATGGGACGGAGGTGGCATCGCACTAGCAGATGAATATACATTTTTCTATGGAAAGGGGAATGAAAATCATGAATTACATACAGGTTTTTTCATACATAAGAGAATCATATAAGCAGTTAAGATGGTAGAGGTCGTTAGTGATAGGATATCATACATAATCCTAAAAGGTTGCTGGTGTAATATCATCATTATGAATGTTCATGCCCAAACAGAAGATAAAATTGATGACATAAAGGAAAGGTTATATGAAAAACTAGAACATGTATTTGATAAATTCCCAAAGTACCCTATGAAAATTTTGCTAGGAGATTTCAATACCAAAGTAGGGAGGCGAAAAGTGATCTGCTTGATGATTCCCACAATATTTTGATAGGTGGAAGAACTACTTCTGTCAGTAATTGAATGTACGTAAGGTCATTGATGTTAGGCAGATAGGAATGCACACAGCTGAGCTGTTCACACCTGATCCTAGCCCTTTTGAAGTTGACATTGCTATTGCAAAATTGAAAAGATATAAATAGCCAGGTAGTGATCAAATTCTGGTAGAACCTATTCAAGCAGGAGGCAAAATATTACGTGATAAGATCCATAAGCCAATTAGTACTTCAATTTGGCATAAGGAAAAATTGCACAATCAGTGGAAGGAATCTATTATTGTACCAGTGCACAAGGAGGGTGATAAAACAGACTGTAGTAATTATCGGTTGATATCACTACAAAATTTTATCCAATATTGTTCTCTCAACATTAAGTCCATACATGTGGGTTTCAACATAACAGATCAACTACAGTTCAGATCTTTTGCATTCATCAGATATTGGAGAAAAATTGGGAGTACAACGAGACAGTGCATCAACTATTTGTAGACTTCAAGAAAGCCCATGATTCGGTTAGGAGGGAAGTATTGTACAATATTCTGGTAGAGTTTGGGATACCCATGAAACTAGTTAGGTTGATTAAAATGTGTTTACATGAAACTTATAGTGAAATCCATATGTGTAAACATTTGTCTGATAAATTTGCCATCCAGAATGGTCTAAAACAAGGAGATGCTTTATCACCACCCCTTTTCAACTTTGCCTTAGAATACGAGGGGGTACCAAAAAGAAACCGAACTTATTTTTTTTAAACTTATTTATACAAATTTTAAGCACAAACCTTCAATCCCCTTCGAAGTACTCTCCACTTACACTAATACACTTGTCTAGTCTTTTATTCCATTTTTCAAAACATTGTCTAAATTCATCTTTTGAGATGCTTGAAAGTGCCTCCGTTGTTTTTTCCTTCACCTCAGCAACATCAGCAAAACGCTTTCCTTTCATGTCTCTTTTCATTCGAGGAAACAGAAAAAATCTTTCAAAGCACGGCATGCTTCCACGTGACCTTGTTTTTGTTCAGCAGTCGGCAGTTGTGGGA